TTTTTTTTCTGGTCTTTTTTTTGTCTCATAATTTTTTATTAAATGCCAGGCATCATGTTTAGGACAGTAAGGTCCTATTTACTGAGGTAAATAGTCTTGTCAGGAGTTGAGCTTAGTTTAGTGTTAGCTAATGTACCTTAATCATCTTCCTCTCACCTTTCAGCCTGCCCTGTGGGTGTGCGCCTCAGAGGGGCATGCTTTTTTCCATGCTCTTGGCCCTCTTCCCTAGATAGGCTGCTGTTGCTTATTGCTTGGTGCTTGCTAGTTTTTTTTAGGGGGTGACTCCGTTGTCTTGACCCAGCTTTAGTCTTAGTCAGACTCTGTCTCCCTGGATCTCAAAAGTGGGACATTCTTAGTGGTCCTGCTCCTCCCTCATTCAAAGGAGACCTTGATAATCTCAGCTCAGGATAGTTTCCTGCCTCTCCCTCAAGGGAAGAGGTATTTTTATCTTTGCTTTTCCCTAGTAGCTTAAGGATGCTGTTCTACAGGGTAGAGGTCCTGGCAGAGCTTCATACCTTTTCTTGCTCACTCCCCTCCTCTAGGCCTGCACCTCCAAGGATGATTGTCTTCCATCTACTGCCCTGTCCCATCTTTAGTCATGAAAGCCCAGTCGAGGTCTATGGAGAAGAACCTATGCATGGGTGCAAGCTCTGCTTGTGTCTATGGCACCTGGGGGTTTTGCACTCTTACCCTAGTCTCCACTTGGTCTCCAGCAGTTTGTTAAAACTGTAACTTGCCCACTTGTGTGGCACTTGGTATTTCTTCTCCTCATGCTTTACCATAGGTGACCCACAGCTGATGCTCACTTTCTGTTTTCCTCGGAAGTGTCTGTCTTTCCTTTTCTAAGGAAAGACAATGTGGTATTTTCCCTTAGACAATGGGAAAATCTGTGGTATAGATGGGAAAACCAGTCTATTGGTTGCTCTGTGACTTCATCTCTCTGCTTTAAGAAAAGTTCTTTTAGATTGTCAGTCTTTTTCTTGTTAGGACAGAATTAACGCTTTCCCCGGCTTTATATATCCTAGGCAGAAGCTCCTTATCCATACTTGTATCTTGACGGAAGAGTGAGACCATGATGAATTCAGAGACCTGTCAAGAAGTCAGCCTCAGATGGATTGATTTCTTGTCACAAGGAAGATCTACAAGCTGTTCCTTTTTGTTTTTACTGAAATGTTATGGCTTGGTTCCTCATGTGTCTGGGTGGCTGAGCATCAGCCATATATATTTAGGCAATTCCTGCTGTGCGTGAAGTGCTGAGCTCCTGGTGGCGTATGAAAGGTAGACAGCAGAAGAAACAGGAACTGAGGGGTGGGCAATGCATTAACCGACTGTGAGAGCCCAGAGTCCCACCCCAGGGTGGCATGAGAAGAGACATCTGCAGACCGCACATATTTCCCAAAGTTAGAGCCATCTCTTGAGAGTCACCTTTTTTTGTTTTGGTATTAAGATGTTTATATTTGGCAAAGGTGAAATGTTGTTGAATTGATGTAGATCTATACAGGTATATGTGTAAGTTAATCTTTGTTGTTATTTTAGTGAGAATTACTTTGTTGTTTTTGAAACGGAGTCTTCCTTTGTCACCCAGGCCAGAGTACAGTGGTGCAATCTTGGCTCACTGCAACCTCCGCCTCCTGGGTTCAAGTAATTCTCCTGCCACAGTCTTCCAAGTAGCTGGGGATTACAGGTGCCCGCTACCACACCTGGCTAATTTTTGTATGTTTAGTAGAGACGGGGTTTCATTATGTTGGCTAGGCTTGTCTCAAATTCCTAACCTCAACTGATCTCCCCACCTCGGCCTCCCAAAGTGGTGGGATTACAGGCATAAGACACCATGCCTGGCCTGTTTGTGTAATTTTATTCATGTTATACTTAACTGAGAACCACCAGGCAAAACCCCTAGGACCCTCTGATGTTAAACAGACAAAATACTGATGTGATTTTTGCATTTAAGTGCTGCTTGGGTTGCTCTACCACTGTCATTACTTGTGGCTGTGGTATGACTGTCTCTTCCCACTCTTGCGTGTCATTTTCTTATCTCTGCTTTCTTGCTTATTTGCCAAGCTCTCACGAAATGCCACAGTTCCAGCGTGCTGGCATGCAGGTGAGTGGCTACAGAGCCATGAGGGGCGGGGCTGCTGGCCCTTTGCTGCAGTGCACACAGTGGGGAGGCTTCCCTACACAGGAATTTCACCTTGGTGGGCTCTGCTCTTTTGAGGTGTCGAGTGTTTGTGGAGAGCCTGCTCTGAGTTCAGCTTTGTGCTGGGCAGTCATTCCAGAGCAGCTGGATTGGGGAAGTGACTCAAAAAGCATTAGACCCAGGATTCAGAGGCCTCCACAGGGACGTGGGAGAAGAGCTGTGCACAGTGAAGCCCAGCTACAGCCATTGTCACCTGCCAGAGGCTGTCTGATGTCCAGGAAGAGCCTGTACTTTGGGTTCACATTCCAATTCTGGCATTTGTTGGGTGCTTTACAACAAGTTACTTAACCTCTCTGAGCCCGTGTTCATATCTGAAAAGTAAGGTTAATAATGCCTATTGGGAAGGGCCATCATAAGGATGAAGTGAGGTGACATGTATTAAGTGAGGTGACATTAAATGAGGGCACACAGTGGATGCCAAATAAATCATGGCGATTGCTGGACTAGTGGAGTGTTAAGTGCTGTGATGTTTTCTGATGGGAGTGGGCAAGGAGGCAGGGAAATGGCTCAAGGCAGCCCTGGAGTATGAGGCCGGTTACCTTTGGACAGTCATTTTCTGACTGAGCCTCAGTTCTCTTTGTCGTAAAATGGAGACAGCCTATGAAAGTATGATATAGGTGGGAAAACATGGTGGCTGCTGCAACCCTCTGTTGTAAAGGCCACCTCTCCAGCTTGGAGCACCGTGGCTGCTGTCTAATACTCCCTTAGATCTGGCTCAGCTCTGGCTCATCCAGGAGGGTTTCTATTGCTAAAGTCAGTGGTACTCATCCTGCCTCCCTGCAGCATCCACTGTGCTTCCAGAGGCTGAGCTCAGCGCTGTCCATTTCTGGGCCATTCTGCAGAAACACTCAGATTTTCCATTCCCTCCTTCCTAGGCAACCAGCAGCACCAGTCTCTGGCCCATTCCATGACAGTGCTGGCTGTGGGACAAAAGAGCTGTCTGCTCACACCCTTCCTCCAGTGGAAGAGTGTGCATGTCTACAAGTTAGGGGATCCTCTGGAAGGAATGGGCACAGCACTGAACATTTCTCAAGAAAGGCCTGCTGGTGGCTTCCCATGAGCGCCTCTTACAGCCCAGTCATCATCCCCATTTATAGATGAAGAAGAAGAGCTGGTCAGTGACTATCTGAGTCACCAGCCTTCACCACTGTACTCTGCTGTGTCTCCTGACAGAACTGCCTTAGTCTGGGGGCCACTGTGGTGGGCTGAAGTCTATCCTGGCTGGGCTGTTGGGCTTCTGAAATTTCCTTTTGGGATGGGATTCTTTTTTTCTTTTCTCTTCTTCTTTTTTTTTTTTTTTTTTTGAGACAATTTCATTCTTGTTGCTCAGGCTGGAGTGCAATGGCTCAATCTCAGTTCACTGCCACCTCCACCTCCCGGGTTCAAGCGATTCTCCTTCTTCAGCCCCTGAGTAGCTGGGATTACAGGCATGTGCCACCACACCCGGCTAATTTTGTATTTTTAGTAGAGATGGGATTTCTCCATGTTGGCCAGGCTGGTCCCAAACTCCAGACCTCAGGTGATCCACCTGCTTCAGCCTCCCAAAGTGCTGGGATTACAGGCGTGAGCCACCACGTCTGGCCTTGGGATGGGCTTCTTTCTGGTAAGCATTGAGATCTGAAGCATGTTGATTCCTGAAGGACTGGAAGAGACCCAGCCCTGATGGCCAAAGTCTTACGAAATGGCCACGGAAGTGGCTGACATGCTGACAATAGGCATGTGGACATGGTGCTGCTCATGTTCTCGAGAACATCCCTCTGGCTCATGTCTCATTCAAGTTCTCCTGTAGCCACCATGAGGGCCTTCATTTTTCCAAGTTCAAATCAGCATGCCCTTGAAAGTTTGTGGTCTATGAGAATAGAATGCTTACCTAATAAAGGAAAACATGCAGGTAGGGTCCACGTGCTGAGCTGCATTCCCACAGAGAACAAGTCCACAGAGGACTTGCGGGTGCTAAGACCAGAACTGGGGCATCTGGCAGCCCTGCCCTTGGACACCCATGGCTCTAGCATCCCGCCCACTGAACATATGCATAGCACTTCCTAGGTCCACAGAAGCCTTTGTGCATAGAGCAAGGGGCTGACTTTTCTGAATTTGGGTGCTGAAGGGCCTTAGGCAGAAACACTGAGCCCTTCATGTCCTGGAGTACTATCTGAAGCAGCCTAGGGGTGCCTGTCCTGTAAATTCTGGTTCCTGCCAGCCTGGGACATGCACACAGAAATCTTTGTTTTTCTAGGGGATCTAGGCCAGGGTGGGGTTGGAACACCCCTCTCTCCCCACCACCCACACTCCCACCAAGTTCTGGGCCATAGCTCCTGGGGCCTGGGAGAGGCATTTGTGAAGCCTGGCACATCCCCATGGAGGGTGGGGAATTAGAGTTAAGCTGACCAGGAAGAGGAGGGACTTCAGGCCCAGGCCAGGCTTCAGCATCTCTGGACTCTCCTGGATGCCTGCTGGTGGGTGCCAGCTGCTTGAAGAGATGGTGGGTAGCCAGCCTCCCTGCAGGCCTCCAAGAACAGGCTGAGGCCACTCACTGACCTACCTGCCCTCCTCATCAGGCCCCTTCCTGCCTGGACCACCGGACGTTCTGATTCCACATCTCACTTACGGCCTCTGCCTGGAAAGGCGGGTGTGTGGACCCAGATGTGGGAATGCCATCACACTGCCATTTCTCCCTGACACTTGGAGCTTACCTTTTCAAGTTTGCTGGTGGTTTTCCCTTTAATCCTTTGGAAGGGCTGTTTCTCTCAGTATTTCTCCAAGCACTGGATAGACTGAAGGACTTTTTTCTCTCTGTCTTTAGCCAGAAGTGGACTTCCCTGTCCCGTCAGGCAGAGGCAGGAGTGTGGAGTCTGTGCAGAGCCAGCCCCAGGAGCCCGTGAGCATGCCCCAGACGCTGACCAGCACTCTGGAGCACATCGTGGGCCAGCTGGACATCCTCACTCAGGTAGGCCGGCTGTGGGTTCTCCCGTCATCTACACTTGGTCCCGCATTTGGACCCTTTGAAGTTGGCCAACAGGTGCTGGATTTTTTAAAAACATGATTATAAGGGACCTGTTTTCCAGTTCAGATGAATGACATTGCAGAGCCTTCCCGGGGATCCTGGCTCTTGGAGCCATCCAAGCCCTGGCCAGGCCACTAGATTCCAAAATCCCCAATGCTGGGTCCTACTGGAGTATGCTCACCCAGAGCTGACGTGGGCTGCTGCAGAGCTTTGAAATTAACACCGTGTTTATTTATTCCTCCCACTCTTTGCTAGATGGGCACTGTAGGGGCATACCAGGGAACTGAGTAGTGAGTCAGGGCTTCTGAGAGCCTAGGCTCTTGAGTTTGAGCCTGGCCCTTTCCTTATCCTCCAAGAAAACTTGGGGAAATCTCTTTAGTTCTCCAAGCCCTTGTATGTTTATCTGAATGTGCTGGTGGTTGTGGGCTCTGCCTGCCATGTTCATGGTGAGAATTAAGGGAGATGAATCTGGGAAATGTTTGGCCCATCCCTGGCTCTAGGTAGTGGCTCAATAAATGTTAGCTGTGGCCCTGACCACCCTCGTCACTGAGATAGATATGGGGCCCACCCTCTGGAGCGTAGGTTGGCAGCCGTAACACAAGCTCATTGTGCCGGGCATGCCCAGCAGGGCCATCTCACCTGAGGGAGGAAGAGTGGTCTTGGCAGAGGGAGTGGCCTGATTGTGGCTCTGGAAAGGCCATGGGCACATCAAGGGAATGAGGGAAGCTCCAGGTGGCTGGCATGTGGATATGTGGTGGGGGGGGTGGGGGGCAAGGCAGGATTTAACCTCGTGTCCTTGGCTCCTGAGGCCAGGCTGGGACTCTGCAGATCCTTCTCTGCCATGCCAGCACATGGATAGAGCGAGGCTATATGAGGGACACATGTGGCCCATGAGGAAAAGAGAAAGGGATTGGGGGGGGTGCGTGTAGAGGCAGGAAGAGTGGCCTCCAGTTCAGCTCACATGGAGAACACGAGGGACCCTTGATGTCACTAATGGAAATGGAGCTGAGATGGCCTGGTATCCTTTCCCCAGCTTGGGATCATGGGCTAAGTGAGAAAAGCTCTTGCAGGATGTGTCATCAGAGCCCAGCTGGGACAGCACACCTTGGGCCCACTGAAGAAAGCATCTTGATGGGAAAGGCCAGCTGTCATGACTGGGGGCTGTGGGACTCCAGGGCACCGTGTACAGACCTTGCTGAGAGCCTGCTAAGCCGAGAAGAAGGCATGTGTTGAGAGAGATGTGAGCAGCATGCAAAGACTTAAAAAACCATCCCTCTTCAAACCCGTCAGCAACTGCCTAATGTTTTTCACAGCCTCGTCAAGTGAGAGATTAGGGGAGGTGGAATCAATTAGAACTTTATAGGATAAAATTGGAAATTAAGTCTGAGAAGGTGGTTAAAAATAGCTTCATTGGATCCAGAGGAGTATAACACTAAAAACATTTCCTGTCACTGTGTTTTAGGGGTGCACATGAAAGGTTTTGTTATGTGTTCACAGTTAGGAGTATGATAGTAACTTTTAAGAAACTTGCATCACAGAGAATAAGTGAAGGCTGGCCTGTGGCCTTTGGCCCATGGCTGGGTGTCTGGATGTCTTAATCCCTCTGTGACACCCTGGTCCTACCTCACACCATTCAGCCTGTTTGCAACTCTGAACAGCAGGCCACCCCCGACCAGATGCCAACAATATCAGCCAGTCACCTGCTTTGCAAAACTGACAGTGTCTGTGTTTCTGGATGCCACAAAGTGAGAAATGTTCTTGATGGACTCAATGTGTCCCAAGGAAACTTGAGTTCTACAGATGAAGCGTCAGCTGAGGCCTTAAAGTTCAACCCATTTTCAGAACTGTGCATAGTGCCTTTGTGCTAATCCTGCCAAGTTCTCCTCGGGCTTGGCTGTTGGTTGTCTTCCAGGCCCCACTTTATCTCCTGGAGTTGGGGCTTTCTCTAGCTGAGGTGTTCCAGCCACAGCCAGAGCTATCTCCACCAAGGGCTGAAAATTTCCCTGCGCCTTTCCCTTGGCATTGGCCCAGCAGAGGCAGGCACACAGCAGACCCCCTCTGTTGGTACAGACTGATGCAGCCCTCCCCTGAAGCTTAGTGCCGGGCGTCCACTGCCATCCATCTTCCTAAGCGGCTTGTTCAGCTGGGCTTCCTACTTGTTCTGTGGATATTGGTCTCAGATGCCACCCCATCAGCGAGCACTCCTCACCATTTGCCCAGTCCTGAAGAGCCTTTGTGTTCTGGAGGGGTGGGGTGCCCAGCCACCCCAACACTGATTCCTACTACAGAGTCATCCATATGATTTGTGCTGTTCTCCTCCATCCCCGCCATTACCCTTCCCTCCCCCACAGGCCTTTGAGAGGGAAGCTGCCTTCCGGGTCCTTCAGGCCTCCATCCTGCAGAACATCCTTCCAGGGGAGAGCCATGGGGATGCAGTGGGCGGTGGCCAGGGATGTTTTCTGAGTGAGTCACAGAGCCTCCAGCCCCTGGGTAGGACACCCTTTTACAGAGGCTCGCAGTCTTCAAACCTGCCTTCCTGGTCAACAGGCTGGTATGGCCCCATGCGGCGAGGTCACCTCTGTGGATGTTTGTGGTCTGTCTGGCACCAGTCTGAGGGTCAGGGACTCAATCTCAGTCCTTCCTAGGGTGACCCCTTCAGCAGCTCCTCTGTAAAGGAAAGGCCTGGAAGCCAGGAAGCTGAGTGAGCCAGTAGAGAGGAGAGGCTCGAGCTTTGCCTGGCTTCCCCACTGCCTAGCTCAGCGGCCTTGGGCAAGTCACGTTGAGTCTCTGTCCTCACTTTCCAAATCTGGAACACAGAGATTATAATAGTACCCACTTCATAGGCCTCTTGGGAGGATTAAACGTGTCAGCGTGTGGGAAGTTCCTTGAACAGTACCCGACAACGCCGTGCACTGCCGATGTGTTGGGTGCTGCTCCCGTTGCTGCCATTGTCATTATCCAAGGCCTGGGGCCGGGGGATCTTCATGACAGCACCAGAAATAGCTCCCTTAATTCCCTGCTGCCTCGTGAAGCTAGACCCTTCCCTACCTAGTAGAGCCATTCCTTGGCCCTCAGAGCAGAGGTGACAGGTTCCTTCTCTGCACACGCATCCACTGCACCCACTCTGTGTGGTGGGTCCTGTGTGAGACCCAGTCCCATTTTAAGGAAGAACTCAGGACTGAATCTGCCGAGGTCGGAGCCAGGCCTCCACAGAGGAGCTGGCAGCTGGAATCATTGGAGACAAGTAAGAGTCCAGACACCAGGTCAAGGCCATGTGTCCTCTGGTGTGGGGTGGCGGAAGCAGCAGCCCAGGAGTTCACCCTCACCTGGCAGGACACTAGGCAGAGCAGAGTCGAGGCCTGACCCTCACTGAGGGCCTGGGGTAGAGTGGAGATAGAGACACAGAGAAGTTGAGACACGATCAAGAGGCGATGCTATCATGGCCCCACCCCTGGGGGCAATGAGACAAATAGCACTGTGGCTGGCCCCTGCTAGGCTCCTGGTCTCTGGAGCAAGCCAGCAAGTGGGGCAGCTTCCCCCAGCCTTCCCAGGCCAAGAGGCCTTTCAGACCAAGAGGAAACCAAATTGCCCTTGGGGCTTGTTTGCCTGGCTTCCCCACTGCCCAGCTCAGCAGACTTGGGCAGCATCAGAAACCCTTTAATTCCAGAAATGGAGTTGGTGTTTTACTTTTTTACGAATGCCTTTTTTATAAAATCTGTACATTATTTTTCAAAAGTGTATATGGGGAGCTGAGCAGGTGCAGTCTTCAGGTCTCCCCACATAGTTGTTTTAGAAGGAAAGTCCTCAGAGTGTGGGGCTCACATCCTCATCATAGTTGTCATCCTCCTGGTTTTAGCTGAAGCTTGTCACTTTGCAGGGACTTCCCTGTGTGGCCCTCACTTTATCCTCCCACCTGGCGGCTGGCAGTAGCATCATACGAGGTGCAGATAACATGTTAATAATGGGTTGTTGTGCCTGGACCAGCCTCAGGGTCCACCCAGCCTGGGGCTTCTCCAGGAGGCCAGGTGATCCTGATCCCAACCACTGTGGGTCAGAGCCTCCCCAGCTTCCCTTGCCAGTTTTGGTGGAGTTAGGGATGTCTTTATCTAGAAAGTCTCCAAACTAAACTTGACCTTCCTGAAAGGTAAGGGTAGAAGTTCTTGCCTGGGGCTCTGTGAACAGAGAGCCCAGCGGGCTGAGCCTCTTAGGTCACCAGCCAAAGAGCATACACACCCTTGCCCTGGCCTGCCCCTGTGTGGGGGTAACCCCTCCTTGCCGCAGCAAACAGTGAGCTTATTCTTTGGGGCATCACTGGTTTCTTCACTAAGCTTCCTGGGACCCTGATCCCAGCTGATACCATGCTTTGAGCAGCTGGGGATTGTTCAGCTTTATACGTCCCCACCAGCTCCGGAGAACAACTATTCCTCACTGGGTTTCAGGGCTGCTCTGTTCACCCAGTGAGCCACCTGCCCATCAGCCTGAGCACACCTCCACCACTCATCACCTGGGTGACCTTGGGCAGGTGATGTCAATCCCAGAGCCTCAGTCTCCTCCCTTGTAAAATAGGGAGAGATGCCTCATTGGGTCCTCTGAGCTCTGCTGTGCAGCTCTTGGTTAACTGGGTGTGCTAGACTGGTGCCAGCTGTTGTGTGAAGCACAGCAATGGGTCGATGTTTTCTGGGGAACAGTATGGGAAAGGACCGGGACAGGCTGGTGGCACCGGAATGACAGAAGTGGACATTCCATAGTCTCCATACCACTGGACTGAAGTCCCAGGAATGCTTTTGAGTTGCCAGTGAGACTCTAGTGCCTGGCTAGGCAGGAGGATAAGAGAGGGGAGAAATAAGAAGTCATTTCCCAACCCCAGCAAGGAGGAGGACGCCGGAGGTGACAGAGGCACTGGGGTGCACATAGACACTGTTAAAAATCAGGCATGGGTCATAGGGCCCATTAGATCAGAGCTCTGAACCTGGACCTAGGCAACAGGGGCCAAGATGGAAGCTCTTCAAAGATGTATGTTGTACTTCCTGTGACAGCCGTTTTTTGAATGTAGTTGTAATGGTTTTTAGGGAACATGTATTTTCTAACAATGGAATTGAGGATTTTCTTAGGAGGACTTTTTGTTCCTTAAGCTCCCTATGGGAATTCTCAGGAGCTGCTAGGCCTGAGGTCAGGAGTGTGGGCATGATGTACTGTGAGCTTTCCGCCCCACTGAGAGATGGCACACCGGTCCCTCAAGGTTCAAGGCCCCTGTTGTGAACCTGTCCTGAAATCCTGAGACCCACCCCTCCCTTGTCCCCTCTGGAGAGAGCACACACCTGTCCTGTGGCTGCCCTGGGGTCACTCACCTGCTGGGCCTACCTCAAGTCTTCGGAGAAAGTTGGCTTGAGCCCAGAGGCCCAAGGGGTCCAGCGGAAAACCCAGACCAGGAGTCAGAAGCTGCAGCTGCTCAGACCCAGCACTGCCTCTTTGACTTCCCACCAAGGGGAGATTTTAAGCACTGCCCACTCTGTCTGTCTATCCCATGGGGTGGGCAGCAGAGGTCAGCCTCTCCGGGTGGGGGGCAGGACTTCCCCTGGGGCCTTGTTTCATCTGCCTGCCCCCAGGCCAGGCTCCTCCTTTCTGAGCACCCCTGGAGGACTCCAGGCCGGACCCCAAGGCTGCGAGGCCTGACTGCTTAAGAATGGGCGCTCAGTGGGTATGCAGGCAGAGGCCCTGGCCCTGACCCTGGTGCTCTTGGGGGTGCTGCCAGGTGATCTAGGGGTCTTTTTCACAGATGCTGGAAAACTTGCCAGTGAGCAGGGAGAGGCTGTTTCCACAAATAGCACTGCTGTGGAGCTCACCTCCGCGCTGGCTTCGTGGCTTCCTTCGTGGACCCTCAAGAAGCCAGAGGGCTGCTGTACAGTGCTTGGCTGTCCTTAGGAGTAACAGAGGTTCCGGTGGTGTCTGGAAGTTGCAGAAGTCCTGGGTCTTCCTTAGGGCAGGGGGGCGGAACTCGGAGGTATGTACAGTGACCCAGGAGCTGGGGAGGCTGCTGTAAGGGGGCCTGATGCAGGCCTGACACGTGGCTTGGTGGTTTTGCCTCAGAAGCCCACAGCAAAGTTATTTTTGACTCCAGTTTCACGTCTTGCTGCTTTTTAAAAATACCAAGCCATGAAATTCCTGCTCCAACTGTCTTTTTATGGCACCCAGTGTTTCAGGCTGGCCACAGCAATGCTGTGATGTCACGTTCTGGTTCCTGTGACTCATGGAGGCTGCTGGGCTCTGGGACTTGAAATGCATGCAGTGGGGAGCAGGCAGGGAGCAGGCCCGCCAGCCCTGCTTGTTTGGGTCTCTTTGGAGTTTGATTTTCTTAAATGTTCAAGTCATTGCATTTTGCTGTCCTAACTCAGCAAGGCCAAGGAATTTTGCCTGTTTGCTTTGGGGATAGAGAATGGCCTTATTTGCTTCAAGATACCTTAAACCTGCTGTCCCCCTCCCCATGGTGGTCCTGGAAGTTCCTGTTTGGCGGGCTGCTCAGGTGAGGCATCTGGTGCCACACTGGCGGGGAAGGTGGCAGTACCTGGTCCTGATGTGGGCCAAGCTGCCTTACCACTCTCAGGGGTTGTCTCTATCCCTCTTTCCTGGGAGGTCCTGCTGTTGCTTATGGAAATAGACCCCCAGTTTTATAGTTACACCATTTTCCCTCGGGATCAGTCCTCCCATATGCACCAAACAGAATTTGTTGGGAGAGTGTAGAGTGAAAGTCATCTGGTGCGTCTTCCCATGATCCCAGGAAGGCATATGCAGCCCTCCTGACACTGTTCCCACTCGCAGGTAGGGCCCTAAGGGTGGTGGTGGGTCGTTTATGCAAGATGGGCCTCCTCTCTGCGTCAGCACCTCTAACCAGCTCACCTACTTGCTCCAAAGTGGATGTGGCCACCCTCCTTGTTGTGGACCTGCATGGCTGCCCTTTTGGCCAGAGTCATACTCAGGACAGATCAAACTTCTGTGTAGGGGTTTGGAAACAAGTGGCTTGTTCTCCTTCTGTTACGAGGCTACTTCCTGGGGGACAAGGGACTCAAGACTGTCTGGTGTGTGCCAGGGACACACTTGGTAGCAGAGGGACTGGGGGAAATGTCTGTCTGGGCCCCTGGCCTTTCCCCAGCCCTATTACTATTTTTGGCATTTTGCCCAAAGGCACCTCTGGCTTTGCAAATATGGAAGGACAGGGGAGCCTGCATCTTCCCCAAGTCGCCAATCAGGGCCAGTACCCTGCCTCCCTTGTGGCATGCAGCCTGCGAGCAGCACTCAAAAGCGGGCAAGCTCATGTTTGTAGGGGCACTGGATGGCAACTCCCTTGGGGGTCTGGCAGAAAACTGGTTTTCCATCTTCTATCCTGTCTGCAGTTGCATCAGAAAGTACCCGCTTCCCAAAGAGGCTGCAGATTGAAGGCCCCTGCCTGCCAGATGGGCTCAGCAGTGGCTGTGGTTACCTCTGGAGCCTGGGAATGTTCATGGTCAGTCGTATGAGATTTCTTCTGTGAAGCTCTGAGCAGGCCTGGAAAAGGGGGAGGGCTGGGAGTTGGTGGGCAGGAGTGGCTGGGGGAGAGCAGAGGCTGGGAGTGGGGAGAGAGGCCCGCGCAGAGACATCTCATTCGGGCTGAATCTAGGCTTGCTCTGAGAGGAGGAAGGGAGGGGACTCCAGGTGATTTGCTCTTGCTTCTCTAGGACCTGAGGGCCCTCCAAGGAAAGGCCAAACACAGGCCACAAGAAAGGGGCCTGTGAGTGTTATGACAGGAGCCCCAAACTGGACGGCATGGCTCTGAGATTAAGCACGCCACACACAGCCTTGTTCATTACAGCTGACCCCGTGGCCACTTGGTGCTTTCCTGAATGAAGCACCACCACAGCAGGGCCAGGAAGGGCTGCAGTTGGGCTTGCTGCTTCCTCCCTGGTGCTCTGTAAAGGGCTTTGATCCAGGCCTGTACTATGGGTATAGACCCTCATCATGCCCACAATGGCCATGGCTGAGGAAGCAGAGGAAGCCTTGAACTTAAGCATGGCATTTGGGAAGCAATTATATGCCCCCTGCCCTTCTGATCTGGGCCCAGCCAGTGGCTCCAGAAAACCCGCCAAGATGATTGGCCAGGTTTCCCCACTGGATCGGTGGATGCCTGGCAGGACGGGGGAGCCTTGAGACTCCATTCCTGGTGGCTTGTGCCCTTCTTCCTCCCAGAGGTGGTCTTGCTGGGTAGTAGCTGCAGCCCAACTTGCCAGGCTATACTGAGACTTCCAGGCTGTCTCTCTGGCTTAGAATGATCATGTTTTACTGGGTCTTGGGAAAGTAGTTGACTAACTATATGGATTGTTAGAAAAGTCAGTCTCTGAAGAAATGGGATGCAGAAGGTGGCCAAGGCCAAGGTCCACACCCCATGCTCAGCCCTGTTTGGACTCACCCTGAAGTCAGAGTCCAGCAGAGTTTATGGCCAAGCATGACTGCTATCCTACACCTTGGGGCCTATCTCTGTCAGACACTTGGCTTCCCTGTGGCCTGTACATGGCTGGCAGAGATGTGCTTGAACCCAACCCAGTGTCAGTGGGGCTGTGGCTCAGGTCTTTCCTTCAGGTGTGAGGAGCACCCAGTTTTATGAATGGTCTGAATGGACCCATTTTTTATAGCTTCTCCTTTTGGGGGAAACAGTGATATGAAAAAGAGAGCTGTGTTCACTTAAAAGGAGTTGCTGTAAAGCTGTGAGGAAGGTAAATAGCTAAGATTCCTTAATCTGGTGGCTAATCCACTAGGAGAAAATAGTGTTTCATATACTTCCCGAAGAGAGCTAATCTTCAGTAGAGCGGGGGCTGGGGGACATAAAACCGTCAGAGAAATTCTATATCCCTGAGATAATGTAAAACAGAACCACGGATTGTAGGCTCAAGGGACCAAAAGCTCATTCTCTGCTGTTTGCAGCAGACTCTGGGGTTAGGGGGAGTTGCTGAACATAGAGAGATTGGGAGGAATTTTTTAGAAATTGGTTTTTGTGAATTGGCTATGTGTGATCCTGGGCCTGTTAGCACGCCAGACATCAGCATGAGAGGGGAGCTCCATTCCTTCCCCTCTGAGGTCCAGGCTTTGGAGCTTTTAGTCATCATCAGACCAGGACCGAGCTGGGAAGGGGAGGAACTGGGCTGCTTCCTTGACTCCCGCCCCCACTTCCTGCCAAAGCAATAAGGCTTCCTCCCTCCCAAGACTAGCTGTTGGGGGCTGGCCCCTCCTGCCTGCTCACCCACCTCTCCCTCTCCCACTATCTCTTCAAGTCCACCAGGTCCAAGACCCACGCTGGGGTGAGTGTTCCTCACAAGTTGGGTGGGCCCATCCTCAGATTAGGGCTGCCCTTTGGTCTGGAGTACCTGGGCTGGCAGGCACCAGACAGGTGTTCCCTGCATTCCCACAGCACTCAGGGCTGGGCATTTGTCCATCCAGTACTCAGTATGCACCTACTGTATGCCAGGTGTTGTCTAGGAGCAGGAGGATAGTCATGAGCAAGAATAGACAACAACTTCTGTTCTCATGGCACTGGCACTCAGACTGACTGATGTCCACAGGCTGCTCCAGGGGCATCGTCTGTACCCTCTGACATGAAGGCCCCTGAGCTACAGACCATTAGGTGCTGGGTGGTGGCTGGGGCCGGGAGGCAGAGCCTTGGGTGGTGCAAAGGGCTGGGCTTAGACCAGTAGGCCTTGTCTGCAGAGGGCTAGGCTGGCCACTCTGGCCCCCCAGTCACTGCTGACATGTGGCAGCAGGCTGGCCAGGGCACCACCAGCAAGGCAGGGTCCTGAGTGTGCACACACACAGGGGTACACCAAGTGATAAAGCTGAAGTTGGGAGGAGACAGGGCAGAGCTAGGGTCAGCAGTGGGGCCCAGCAGCCCTGCTTTGTTTTGATAGCTCACGAGACCCCACAGCAAAGAGATTCCCCTTTTATTGCATCTGTTTTAGATCTTCAGAATCTGAGTGAAGTCAAAACCATGCTACAGGGGAGATTAATTCCATATTTTTTATCTTTGCAATGAAGCCAAAGGAAAGTTAGACATTTAGTGCAGCACAGTTGAGACCAGGGGTGTTGAGACAATGACCAGCCCAGGACATTTGCCCGGCCTGCCACAAGTGTCCTCAGTGGTGTGACCGAGTGACTGCACCCTCTCCCTGAGACTCAGAGCAGCTGGGGCCACCCTACCTCTGGCCCAGTTACCTGGCTCCTGTGTTGGTGTGGAGGAGACTGGAGAACTCCAGCCCCACCACGGAGGCCTCCTGGGGGACCCCAGATCAACCACAACCTGGGAAATGATTAAAAGGAGCTTTCCATAACAGGAGAGCTTTAAGAAGCAGCCAGACCACCATGTGCATCAGTGGCTCAAACCTGACCACATCTGTGCCCATGGCTCCCCCAACATCCCAGAGCTCAGCCAGAGCAATGGCTAGGGGAGTCATGTTCCCCATAGTGCATACCTGTGCCCCGCCAGCCAGAGCAAGTGCTACATGTGTATTAGTTATTAATATGACTATTGCCATGACTATGAGAGAGGTGTTTTACAGACAAGGAAACTGAAGCCCTGAGTCAGGTCACTTGCCCAAGGCCGCTCGGGGAGTTAGTGGTTAAGTTTACCTTTGAGCCTAGGCCACATAGCTAAGGAGTCTGTGTGCTTACCACATGGGACAAAGGTTCCCCACTGGGAATCCCTCAGCGGCATTTTCCAAGGGCCTACACCCATGAGGGAAGGAAGGCAGGTATCCGAGCACTGGGGCCAGGGCAAGGAGGCTCCTGGGGTAGGAGAGTGGGCAGGCCCCGGATAGGCGGGGTTGGGCAGGGAAGGCAGTATCAATGGTCAGCACAGGGCCTGGAGGGCCACAGAAATGCCGTGCCTCAGTCTGGCCTTTATCCCTAAGCTCTTGGATAGGAGAGAGGCACAGAGAAGCAGTGAGGAGGCAGAGGGTAAAGGGTGTCCCAGGAGTAGGGCAAGGGGAGTCACCAGGAAGCCTAGGTCCAAGGATGGGGACTGAGAAGCAGGCAGAAGGGGCACCTGAGTCCTGCCTGGGAGGCCCTAGAGCAGGAGGAGCCCAGCTGGGACAGGGGAGGGGGTCTGCCTGAGTCTGGCAATGACACTTCTCTCACTATGGTACCCTGATCAGCCCAGTGTGGCTGCCAGGGGGGCCTGGGACAGCGTGGCCCTGTGTGCTCACCCTACTACTGCCTCTCCCAGGCTTCACCCAGCTACTGCCTCTCCCTCCTCTCCGTCAGTGCGGCTTCCTATCTTGTCCCATCAGCCGCTGATGCCCCATCTCCTGGCCTCCCTGCAAGCCTGCCAGCCCGGGACAGTTGCAGCTCCCCAGCCCAGGCAGAGTGGTTGGTGGGACACATGGCTGGATGTTGGCTCTGCCTCCATCCATCAGTCTGGCCCAACCACCCTGTCCACCTCCACACCACCTGTCTCAGAGGAGGCTCCCATAGGAACCAGTACCACTCACCCGGGAAGGCCCCAGGTACCAGCACCCAGAGCTCTGCTAAGAGTAGGATCTGGATATGGGGAAGGGCCCTGGCCAGGGTGAGCAGGAGGCCCTGGAAAGACGGGCTGCCCCAGAGCTGGGGGGCAGGGGGATGGAGTGGGGAAACCTCAAGTGAGGCCTGCACTTGGGTAAGTATTTTTAAGGATCTGGCCACCCTTGTTCTTTCCTGCCCCCAAGATGTTCTTTGCTGTCAATAGTGGTGGAGTAGCATTCTCCCAGCCTAGACAGGACTGTGGCCGCATCAGTGCTCGGAAGCCCCCAAGGGCTAGGATCCCTTGTTTGCTGCCTGTGACGGGTGTTGACAGATGTGTGGGAGTGAATGATGTTGTTGGCTACCCCTGAGGAGGGTCATGAGTGTCCCACACCTCCTCAGTTTTGGAGACGCTTCCCCTCCATGTTTGCACATGAGTGCATGAGGGAGGCCTTCAGCAAAGGTGGTGACGACCATGGCCCTGGGAGGAGGGGCAGCTGCTGGAAGGGACCTGTCCCTAAGGGTGTGCCCTTGGTCTGTGCTCTGAAGTACCAGTCCATTCCTTTCTGTTTCATGGCCTGTGGGACCAGGTGGCTGTGGTCAGTTCCTAGGTCGAGCCTCCTCTCCCAGAGTTTATTCTGGAACCAGTGCTCTACAAACTGGCCACAGGCACGTGGTATTAGCATCCTCCCTGGCTGTGGCTGCTCAGACCTGTGAGCCTGGTGAGGCAGTGCAAGGGAGTGGAGGCTTCTCTGTTCCCTTTCATTTTGAGCTGAGGGCCCTTGGGCCCATATCTCTTCCCCACTCTTTTTAGGCCAAGCACACTGGCCTCCTGACAGTTCCAAGAGTGTGTCTCAGGGCCTTAG